CGAGGCGTGGCGAGGCGAGGCGTGGCGTGCGTGCGCGCGCGCGTGTGTGGAGAAAGAGCACAAACACTAGTAGGCCCAAAACATTACTCAAAGCCCATTAGGAAGTGAACCATTATAAACCACTTGAACTTCTCTTCAACTTCCAATGTGGGACTATTCACAATTGCCTTTTCCTTAAGAAAATGCTAACAGAGTAAATGTTCTAATCAAGCTACGGGTACGTGTACGGGTACGGGTACGGGTACGAGACATTGCAAGTTTGTTATATTGATTGTTTGATGGAAATTTGCAGTAAAGGAAATGAAAGAAAAATTTGACTCGTATTCCTCTCAAAATCAATTACAATTTGGATTCCGATTACAAAAGAGAGGAGAATGAATTTGATTCTCCAATTTGTTTAAAAACTGGGTTCTTCTTGGTAGCGGTGGAGTGTCTCCTTCGATTGATCGCGTCGAAATTGCTCTCCGTTGACGATCCGAACGTCTTGATTCACTGGAACGTGATTTTCTCCTCACGGTTTGACGCTGTGGAGAACTTGCGTGGCAAGTTTTGAAAATAACTCTTGACGAGTTGATAACTCTGAACGAGTTTTAGAAGAACTCGTAGAGCAAGTTTTGAACTCTGATCGAGTTGATAACTCTGAACGAGTTTTAGAAGAACTTGCAGAGCAAGTTTTGAACTCTGATCGAGTTGATAACTCTGAACGAGTTTAACCTCTTGAAAAAGAGTTGATTTGAACCGAAAGTCGGTTATAAGCGAAGGCCGAATAATTTCAAAGGCTTCAATTAAAAGCCTTCCAAAATGATTCAAGAGCTCCTTCAAGTCGTTGATCTCCAAAGCTCTCTGTTGCTGCCAAGTCCCAGATCCAAAATATGCCAGCCTTTTGACCGAATCTCCCTTTGCTGATCAGAAAAAATTCGATCCCTTAACTCAATTGAGTTTCTGGTATTTATAGGAGATTAAGGGTGGTAACTACCTCCTTAATCCGCTCTTAAGTGGGGCGAAAATCCCTCAAATCGTGGGGGAAAAACAGTTCCTGGAACTGTTCATTGCGTGCTTGAACGAGTCAAACGCTAAAAACGGCGTTCAGGGCCCAAACTCTGCGTTTTTAGACTAAAAACGCAGAGTTGGGCCTATTCTGGTGGCTGAACGCACTGGCCGCGCAGCGTGATGAACTCTGAGACGCAGAGTTGGGATGTTTTAGGCTGAAAACGCACAATTCGTGCTGTAAACGCACAGTTGGGCCGTAGGCGAACCTTAGGCGGGCTTGGCGAGCTTCAAGCTAAGTCCAATGTTCTGACGAAGTCCGGTCTTGCAGACGGACTTCAGAACATAATTTGCTGCGAAGAACAGGTCATAACTTTCAAACCGTAAGTCGGAATTAGACGAATTATATATGAAAATCGGCTATCTCGACGAGACGGGGCCATCCGAACCCAGCCGAAGGCTTCGGTTCGCTTCCTCCGTTTCGCCAAATTCCTCACGGTTTGAGAGATATTTGCATTCTAATATGAAGAGACCGTCAATTTGTAGTCTCTTTTGCTAGAGCTTTGCACAGATCGTCCTCTTGTAATCTTCGTCTTGGCTCCTTGAAAATATGAGAGTCGTCAGATTGTAACTCCCGATGTTGATTGTGAAGGCTGTTGAATTGGAGCTTTCATCAGTTGTCGTGAAGGTCGTCAGATTGTAGCATTCTACGTGAAAGTCCTCAAATTGTAGCCTTCTGGAAGTCGTCATATTGTAACTTCCATCATCGGTGTTTGACGGGGGAACAACTATCTATTGTGATTTTTAGACAGCCTACATTGATCAAGGTAATGTTTTGCTCTTCTAAGTAGACAATCTTGTTTCAATTGTATCAATCAATGGAAACCAATCATCTTTGTGTAATTTTGTAAGTCTAAGAGAAGTCCTAAATAAGTAATAGGAAAATCTCCACCAGCACAATTCATCATTGTTGTTAGCTGCTGTTGAGCTGAAGGATTTTTTTTTCCCCAAAGCAATGAGCACACTCTCAGGGAGAAGTTACTATGTAAACCTGATACAAGCTCATATCCATATAAGAGTTAACTTTAATGCCGTCAGATGTTCTCTATTAGCTTGACAAAATATGAGAGTATTATCAGCATATTTTTTTTTTTGGTCAATGAAAATTTTATTCATCTTCCAAGTATGAAATTGCTTTACAACACAGCTCAGTTTTTTTTGAACTGAGAATGCACTAACATCTAATATCTCACATCCTCAAGTATTTACAAGGTAGTTATCCATTCCTTATCTTCCGTCGAAAAAGAACCATTGAGAATAGTAGTTAGTATAATGAACTTGATCTCCTTGAACAATTGATCTACAGTCTTCATTTCTTGTTTGAAAACTCTACTGTTCCTTTCACACCAGACACCATAGATTGATGCAGTAAGAGCTATCTTTTTGATTTTTTGTTTAAAGCCATCTCCCCTCAATCGTAGGCTATACCAGTTCATAATCAACTCCCAGTTACAGGATTTCCACTTGAATTGCAACCAATCCATGATCAGTAGCCAAATTTTCCTTGAAAATTGACATTCGAAAAATAGGTGATTCCTGCTCTCTGTGCCAGAACACCAGCAACAAATGTTTTCATTCACAATTTTCCTTTTGATCAGTCTGTCCAGTGTGGGCAATCGATCATGAACTGCCAGCCAGCTAGTAAATGAATGCCTGGGTAAACATGATGTCTCCCACACAATTTTATACCATGGCATAACAGGGCCAGCATGAGATATAACAGAGTATAGAACAGAAAGCTTGATTTTTGAATCTCTGGTACTTTCCTGAAATATTTGTATCAAGTTGTTAACACCACCATAAAGTCTCAGGGCTTTATCTCTGACTTTCAGAATGCTTTTCCACATCCAAGAATCTCTGCTTCTTGCTTTAACATTCCAAATATTATTTTGCTTTAGATATGTGCCATGAATCCATTTGATCCAAAGAATTTCTTTGTTTGAGTGAATGAGCCATAGAGTTCTGAGAGTTGAAGCCAAACTCCATGTAGGAGCTGAATATATGCCAAGCCCTCCTTGTTTCTTGCTTAGACAGACCTTGTCCCATGAGATAGGATGCATTTTCTGAGCCTGATCTGATTTCCCCCACAAGAAAGATCTACACATTCTATCAATTTCCTGCAGGACCTTTTTAGGCAGTACATAGTTTGATGTCCAATAGATTTGGATGCCCAGAATGATGCTTTTGATAATTTGCAGTCTGCCTGCATAGGATAGCAATCTATTTTTCAAACAAGCTTGGAACTGGTTTGATATTCTGTTCATCAAAGGAGAACAGTCATGATATGATAATCTTCTGCAGATCAGAGGAACCCCCAAATACTTGATAGGGAATACACCTTCAGTAAAATTCAAGATCCTTTCAATTTGCCTTTTAGTAATGTCATCAACACCTCCATAGAAGACCTTGCATTTATCTTTGTTTGCTTCCAGACCTGATACTGAGCTAAAATCCTTGAAGCAATCAAGAAGGAGTTTCACTGAGTGAGGATCACCCTTGGAGAAAAGAAGGAGGTCGTCGGCAAATATCAGATGTGTGATCCTATACAAAGCACAGCCAGGATGAAATTTAAACTCCCTGTTATCCTTAAGACCCTCCAATTTCCTGGAAAGATACTCCATACCCAAATTAAACAAGTAAGGTGATAACGGATCACCTTGTCTTAAACCCCTCTCTCCTTTGAAATAACCATGAAGGGTTCCATTCAATGATATGGAATATTTAGTTGAAGAGATACATACCATAATCCAATTTATGAAATTTGCAGGGAAACCAAGACCTACAAGCATCTCATGTAGAAAATTCCAACTTATAGTATCAAAGGCCTTTTTAATGTCAATACTCAGCATAGTTCTTGGAGAAATGTGTTTCCTATTGTAGCTCTTCACAAGCTCATTTGCAAGCAAAATATTACTTGAGATATGTCTACCTTTGACGAATGCAGATTGAGCCTCATTTATTAGATAACCCATTACAGTCTTAAGCCTGTTAGAGAGGATCTTTGAAATTATTTTATAGAGGCTGTTGCAACAAGCAATAGGCCTAAAATCAGATGGGGTCTTAGGGCATTTCACTTTAGGGATCAAAGTGACAGAAGTAGAATTGATCACTCCCAGAATTTTACCAGATTGAAAGAACTCAGAGATGGCCTTATTTACCTCATCACCTATGACACTCCAAGATGATTTATAGAAAGATATACCAAAACCATCTGGCCCCGGAGCTTTGTTATCATCCATTGAAAAAACTGTATTTTTAATTTCCTCACTGGTAACGGCAGAGGAAAGAGTATTAGCTTGAGTTTTACTTAGACAGGGACCAATTTTGATGAAATCTTTATCAGTTTTGGCAGTTGGTGTACTTGATCCCATAAGATTCTTGT